CCCTGACCATGTGTTCAGTAATGTAGTTTCACTGTAGGGTTTATAAAAAAAATAAATTGTTGCATGAGAATAATCAAAATCATTTAAATTTATAACACTTATAAAGGTCAAGGATTAAAATAGATTTCAGGATTAAAATAGTGCCCACCCGGTCTATCCACCCCACAATTGTCCTCAGGCTACTTCTTAGTGAGAATAGTGGCCCCTGGGTCACAACTTGTTGAAAATCACCATAGAACAGTAATTATTTTAATTTGGGTTTACTATCAGGTTTGTTGAACAGTTAAGCTTTGTATTGAAGAAACAGTCTGGCACATAACTCCTCTTAAAACTCAAACTTTTCATTTTTATTCTGTGGTCTATGTATGGATCAGACAAAATACAACATGTTACTGAGTTTTAGAGGTGCTGAGGTGCTGGCAGACAGATTTATCTTTAGACCGTACCAGGCTAGTTGTTTCACCTTGTTTCTAGTGTTTATGCTAAGCTAAGCTAAGCAGCTGCTGGCAGTAGCTTCATACTTACAGACACAAGAGTGGTATCGATCTTTTCATCTAACCTTTGGCAGGGAATGGAATAGGCGTTTCCCAAAATGTTGAACATTTCCTTTAATGTGTGGAGGGTACACTGTATGATGTATGCTGCCTGAAAAACCTCCAGAAGAACAGAAAGCAGAAAAACATCAGGGTCCTCTCTTTGATGACTTATTGCAAAGCCCCTCAAAACCTTAATTTATTTAAGAAAATTGTAACTGGTGATGCTAGTGTACATGTTGCTTGAGTGTGGGAATTCTTGTTGGAATTGCATTTATTGGTTAAAAAACATCTTAATTTATATTTTAATATCTTATGCAGTGGGCGGGAGGGTAGTGTTGTGACTCAGAAATTTGCAGGGATAAAATATTCTAATTATTCATTTCTGTGCCTTTTTGATCTTTTCTGTTGTCTTTCACCAAATATAAAGAGGGTTAATAATCAGACTGGCATTTTAAAATTTGAGTAGCAGTAGTGTGATTGAACTACAGTAGATTTGTTTTATTTTTCTAATTTATACCTAAAATGTATTTATAAATTAAGTTGTACACAGTTGATGTAAATATTTTCTCTTCCCTGTCAGCTGATTTTTTTTTTCCTACCCCATTAGGGCAGGACCTCTCAGAGTGCACCACTGCTGCCTTTTGTGTACTTTTTGTTTCTTGTGTACCCAACAACATTAATTCACAGGATTCCAAATTGATGTGACACCTTTCATTTAACTTACTTATTGCCATTCAGACTTAATGCTTGTCTCTCAACCAAAGCACTAAAGAGGTGGGTTTGACCTTTTCTTTTTAAAATAACCCACGTTTAGAAAATAGCAATCACAACATATTGTGATTGTGTATCAATATGGTGATATCACACTATCTATCAGCCAGAAACGCCTTGCTTGTCTGGTTCATCTTACACTAAAGTAATGTGTGTAAGGACCTGGGGAACTTTTAAACCCAGCTTCTTAAAAGTAATTTCCTTACTTCTTGTCAACAGCCAACTGTTGTGTGTTGAGTTTTTGTGCATCAGTACTGACAACAAAAAAGGAAAACTGGATTGCGGATTGATAGACTGACATGGGAGAGGACTGCTCTCTATCACATATCATGAGGATGATTTTGTAACCCACTGTATCTTTGTTTTTGTTTAGAAAAGATTACTGAATGTAGTTATTATGGACTTAATGGTGACCACTGGCATTCTGCACTGGTTTTGTGTTTTCATTGTAAGTGAGAGAATTTTATTTTTGTGTACATTATTGTTTCTGGGACGTTTTGGTACAGGGAAGAGGGTGATAAATAAAGAATGTCAAGAGCAAAACATGCTTTAATATTCCCATGTCGAAACAGACAGTTTTACAATTAAGGATTATTTTCATTATCAAATTCAATATCTCAATTATTTTCCCAGGTAATCAATAAATACTGCATAAGCACATGTAGCTAAATGCCCAGAAGTGTTCTAAAACCAAAGTTACATAAAGGCAACAAAGCATTAGAATGGATACACACAAGGATGATAAAAGTAGCGTCATCAGAACGTTACTTTTTACACAGCACAAATAAGCAAATCAAAGGCACCTAAAAACAGGGCAAAGCGGCACTGGAGAGAATCAGGAACAGCAGTAGAGACTAAACAACAGGCATTAGCCTACAGTAGGTCCAGAGTTTTATTGCTCTTTGTGTGGAAGGGTG